ATATATAAATTAAATTTATTCTATAAAATTAAAATTTAAGTCTATCTATTATTTATTATAGATTTTGCTTTATAAGTCTCAACTAACTCTTTTAAAAATTTGCTTTAACGTTTATTTAAAAACTTATTATATATTAATAAGTCAATGAAGTTAATTTTAAATAAATTAAAAAATCTATTTTTAAATATATGCGAATCTTTTTTAATTTATATGATAAAAAAAATTTACTCTATTATTATTAAAATTTAAATTTTAAAAGAAAAAATTAGTATAAAAGGGACAATTTATATATATCTAAGTACATTTACATGATAAAACAAGATAATTTTATAGATATATAAATAAATAAATAAAGATTTCCTATATCTTATTTAAAACATTTTAAATAACCAATCAAAAAGATAAAGAAAAAAGAGTAGATGAAGATGCAACTGTTAGAATTTTTATTTTTTATTTTATATGAACAGAGGATAAAAAGTATAGAGAAAATGTAAATATAAATAATTTGATTTTTTTAACACAAATTTATCTATTTAATTATATTATTTTTTACACAAATTTAATTATATTGTAATGCGTATATTAACTTTTATTATACTATAATTAAATAGGCTAGTTTATATTAAGTTTAACAAACTTTTTTATAAACTTAAACCAAATATTTTTAAATAAATTGGCTTATTTTAAAATTTTAAATATAATATTTTTTTATTAAATAAGCCAGATTAAATAAAACTTTTAATAAATTATATCACAAGTTTTTATTCAAGTACGTCCTAACTTATTATTCTTAATGGTACAGTACCATATTTACAGGCGATCATCTAACCAGTTTTCACACACAACAAAGTTGGAACACGGATTCTCTTATTAAATAGACAGTAATCCATAATAATGTGTATACCGTATGGTGCCGATTGGACCGAATTATCCGAACCCCTTACCGTTCCCGAACCGGCCGAATGCCCGATACCACCGACCCCAAAATAGCGTACGGAACGCTTCGGTACAGTCGGCCAAGATCAACGACATTACTTAATTACGGATAATTTAATTAGTTTAAAGCCTCGGATTAGTCCCTAATTTCCCGGGGCCCATCCCGTAATCACGGCCCAACACGAATACCTATAAATACAACTCCTGAGAGGTACGTAACCAACTTTTCAACTACCGCATTTAATACGCCGAACACTTACTTGAGCGTTGGAGTGTCTTTGCAGGCACCCCCTCCTCGTTTCGGACTGCTCGGAGAAGGACGAGAAGACCTAGACACCGGACCCGACCCGCTACAACAAGGATAATTGGAGTGTGTATCCTAACACAGGAACATTTGGCGCCCACCGTGGGGCCGAAGAGACGTTTTCAGCCCCTTTCTTAACTCTACGACTGAGACCGAGATATGGTAGTGACCCGAAAAGGACAATCAACAACGACCCAACCGACTCACAACATTAATACCGAAGCCAATCCCGCTATGAATAACCAAGAGCGTTACCCGTACGGAATGCCCCAAACTCAACCGGAACCCGTGATACAGCAGGTCCAGCCGAATACTGATCAAACCCAACCAAATTTACAAGACGACCTTCGCGCGTTGCGGGAAGAAATGGCCACCATACGCAGGCAAAGAGAAGCCGACGCCCGGGAGCTAGCCGAGTTACGGCGACAGAATGCCGAACTCCGGAACCTGAATCAGACTTGTGTGCCGTCCACCCCCACAGCTGTGGAAGAATCTGCCTATCACGCCCCAACTGAGCCGGTAACTCGATCGCCGGGCACCTCATTGATAGCCAACAGGGCCGAAACCACCGTCCATTCTCTAAGACATCCGTTTTCACGGAGAATAATGGAAACAACCCTTATGGATCATTGGAAAAACCTCCCAATTGAGAAATATGACGGAACTTCCGACCCCGACGAACACCTAAACGTTTTCCTGACACAGGCAACCCTTTCCACCCAAGACGACTCAGCCCTGTGCCGAATATTTCCCACCTCATTGAAAGGAAGAGCTCTAAACTGGTTTACCAAGTTGCCGAACGCTTCCATCGACTCGTTTGGCGAGTTATCATCCCAGTTCACCTTACAATTTGCGACGAGCAAGCCGTACCGGACGACCTCGTTGGCTTTAGCCGGAGTGCGTCAGGAGAAGAAAGAGAGTCTGAGGTGTTTCATGGACCGGTTCAACAGGATTGCTATGGAGATCGGCGACCTCAACCCAGCCGTAGCGCTAGACCGATTGAGCACTGCCCTCAGACCGGGACCTCCAAGTATCATGACTAGACATTTCTTGTTCTTGTTAAACAAATCTGCAACAGGTAGTATTTCAGTCTTTGGTTCCCAAATGGATTTGGGTCCATGAGTGTCAGCTCTTGAGGTTTTGGAATACCTTTTTTCGTGCATGTGACTGTGTGTGGACGTAGAATGTCCATGAGAAGAATATGCATGTGTTCTTATTTTAATCTCTAATTCAGTATCAACATATCCTAGTCCAGACCTATTATTTCCACTCCTAGAATATTTAAAAAGATGTTCAAGATTTTTAGCTCCTAGAGTGAATTTTGACAAATTTGATTTTAATAGGTCAATTTCTTTGTTAACTTTGTTCACTTCTTCTGAAGTTGAAAATTATTTTTTGAATTCTTTTGATAGCTTTGCATTCTCATTCTTAAGAAGCATATTTTCTTCAAGTAACTCAGAAATCTTTTTCGTTTGTTCCTTATAGGCTGTAGAGATTTTAGCAGAATTAGACAAAAGTTGATTATATGCATGCTCAAGAGTTTGAAAGTCAGATTTAGTTACCTCTTCATCATCAGATTTTGATGATGAGTCTGCGTCTGCCATAAGACAGATGTTTGCTTCT